AGTTCATTGACATTTCTGAGTTCTTTGTGAATTGGTTTGACAGACTTCCCCACTGACTGGAGATACCAGTTATGGAAATTAAGTATGCCTACAAAATCATGTGACTGCAATTAGCACACATGTCTTATTTCTTCTGATCATCCATAATGTTAAGGCCATGTCATAACAGCCAGACATGCTTGTGATATTTTAGATTTTCTTTCTTTTACTGTGCAGTTCTAAAAGTGTAGTGGGGGAGGTGTTTGCATAGGAGACACTAACCTTGTCCTAGGTGTGTTAAATTCTAGAAGCAATGTGTTTATATCTGTTTCTTTTAAGCATCTTTGAACAAGAAGACCACTTAAAATTGAAATATTGTGTTTACATTTGTTTCTTTTAAGCATCTTTCAACAAGAAGACCACTTAAAATTGAAATAGCTATCAGGCTACTGGATTGATATGGTTTGAGATAGGGAAAAGTGTTGGGATCTTATGAACACAGTAATCAAACTTTTGTTTTTATAAAAGGAAAGAAAACTTATTGATTAGTTGAGAACACTGAATATTTAATTATTATTACTGAATTTCTGGACTGTGTCCATTGTCTGGTATTTTGAAAAGTACAAATTTTGGGGTCTGTGTTCTCAAAAGTCTACACCAATATGGTAGTATTCTTTCTAATAAACAAATACATGGTTAATTGTAACATTTAAATATATTTTAGCATGTAGAATCCTACAAATATTTAAATGAATTGACTCATATAACAGTTTAAACAGCTTTTACATATATAGTTGCATACTTTACATTAACATTTTAACATTTTAAATAACACACATTCACTGGCAACAATCGGTTTATAAATTAAAATGTACATGAGAATTTATAAATAACTTTGAACATAATTTATATTCATACATTTAAAATGCCTTCGTTTGTCTCTTCTTGGCATTTTTTGGAATCCCTATCTTCGGTGGAAAAGAAGTAAGCAGTTACAAATCAGTACTAGTCCACTTCCTCAACAGTCGGTCCCTGACTTCCTGCCTGCTGACCAGAACAGCCACCACCTGCACCTTGATGAATCTTGGTCATGATGGGGCCACAGACTAGCTGCACCTCCTGTAGTTTGTGTTCTAACTCGTCCTTGTCAGCCACGGTGTTGCTGTCCATCCACCGCAGAGCACTGTCACATTCTGACCTCGCTGCCCTCTTGTCCTCTTCGCTAAGTTTGCTACCTGCCTCATCTACAGACTGCTTCACACTGAACACATATCCTTCCAGTTGGTTCCTTGCTGCGACTCTCTGCCTCTGCTTCTCATCCTCTTCCTTGTACTTTTCTGCTTCTGACAACATCTTGTCAATCTCTTCCTTTGACAATCTGCCTTTATCGTTATGAATTATAATGTTCTTTGATTTACCAGTACTACTGTCCTTTGCAGACACATTCACAATACCATTGGCATCAATGTTGAATGTGACCTCTACCTTTGGCACACCACGAGGTGCTGGAGGAATGCCTGTGAGATTGAAAGTTCCTAGGAGATTGTTGTCTCGAGTCATTGCTCGCTCGCCTTCGAACACCTGTATGGTGACAGCAGGCTGATTGTCAGAATACGTTGTGAAGGTCTGCGTCTGTCTGCAAGGGATGCGAGAGTTACGTTCGATGATATTCGTCATAACTCCACCAGCTGTCTCGATACCAAGGGAAAGCGGCGTCACATCCACCAATAGAACATCTTGGATCTGTGAGCTGGTGTCTCCACTCAGAATAGCAGCTTGCACAGCTGCCCCATATGCGACAGCCTCATCAGGGTTGATGGACAGGTTCAGCTGTTTCCCACAGAAGTAGTTCTGAAGCAGATTCTGGATCTTTGGAATTCGAGTTGAGCCACCCACTAGCACCACGTCATGTATCGACCCCTTGTCAAGCTTTGCATCTGTCAGTGCTTTTTCTACAGGGTGCAGTGTCGAACGGAAAAGATCAGCACAAAGTTCCTCAAACCGTGCTCTTGAGACTTTCGAATAGAAATCGATACCATCAACCAAGGCATCAATTTCAATGCTTGCCTCTGTACTGGAAGAAAGGGTTCGCTTTGCTCTCTCAGCTGCTGTTCTGAGTCGTCGCAATGCTCTTGGATTCCCACGTATGTCTTTCTTGAACTTCCTCTTGAACTCATCAGCCAAGTGGCTTACCAGTCGGTTATCAAAGTCTTCACCACCAAGGTGGGTATCTCCTGCAGTTGCCCTAACCTCAAAAAGTGATCCTTCATCAATAGTAAGGATGGAGACATCAAAGGTACCGCCTCCCAGGTCAAAGATGAGTACATTACGTTCTCCCTTGAGGTTCTTGTCTAGCCCATAGGCCAGAGCAGCGGCTGTGGGCTCATTGATGATGCGGAGCACGTTGATGCCTGCGATGGTACCCGCGTCTTTTGTAGCTTGACGCTGTGAGTCATTGAAGTACGCTGGCACCGTGATTACAGCGTCGCGTACTGTGTTACCCAGGAAAGCCTCTGCCGTCTCTCTCAACTTAGTCAGTACCATGGAGCTGATCTCTTCTGGTGCAAACTTGCGTGTTTCACCCTTATATTGTACCTGGATTTTAGGCTTCCCGCAGTCATTTACCACTGTAAAAGGCCAATGCTTCATGTCACTTTGAATCTTTTCATCGTCAAAGCGTCTACCGATCAGCCGTTTCGCATCGAAGACTGTATTTTTGGGATTCATAGCCACCTGGTTTTTAGCGGCGTCTCCAATAAGACGTTCGGAGTAGTTGAAAGCCACATAGCTGGGAGTAGTGCGATTTCCTTGATCGTTTGCAATGATCTCGACCTTGCCTTGTTGCCAGACACCAACGCAAGAATACGTGGTTCCAAGGTCAATTCCGATAGCCGGCGTTTTCGGTCCCATGTTTCACTCTAGAAAATATTTTTCCTGTTGTCAGTACTGTAACTTTAAAATGTTTTCGCTGTATGCCTGTTGTTCACTAGCTATACTTTGACTCGCTGCTCTTATTCCTTATATTTGCTTCTCTTGCTCAGAATAAACTGTCAAGTTTGACGCGTCGACCCCATTATATACTACAAGCTACATCCATCAGATATTTCTGGATTACCTAGAAAATTCTAGCTATTCATATTCCGTACGCTTCTCGAAGCATCGAGAACCCCTTTGCCATTGGTTAATCTCTGCTGTCGTCATGGGAACGTAGATCAGCTGTCGTCATGGCTGGTTAAATTGCGTAATAAACAGAGGTTACTAAATGCCACAGATAAAAGACTAGAAGTGTCGAAGACAACTGATGTAGAGAAATATCGATGTTATTAATTTGGCAAGTTTCGTTTTAGGTAGAAGGTCGTCACAATTTGGAACATAATAAGTGTTCTGTTTGTTACGTGAGATCAAAATATGTATTTTTACATCATCCCTAAACCGTAGATTGAATCTGTTTTTATTTAAGCTTGCATAACTAGTCTTGGCTTCTCTGTGCTTTCAGCTACACAGCTGTCTTCAGAGTAATAAAAGCAATGCCATACAAATTTTTCTTATTGCCTGCAAATTTTTGTATATTAACGGTGCTACAGTTTGAATAATGAGTTTTTAAACGCTTTGACATAATTCTTTTTATCATAGACCAATATTAACAGGCATAATGCAATATATATATAAAAGCAATATGAAGAGTTTAAAATCGTCCAATTTTTTGAC